GAATCCTTCAAAACGAGCCCAAGCCAAACCTGAAGCTCTGATACTACTTGTTGTGAGTAGCGGAATTCAAACACAAAAGAGCACGAACAAGCGAGATCGAATCACAAACAATAAACCAACACAAGCATCACAACAAGACAATGAATTTTACGTGGTTCGACGAATTGCCTACGTCCACGGGACAAGGAGGGGATGGATTTTACTATTAGAGAGAGAGTACAAATAGAGATTACAAATTCACTCAAAACTCACAAATTAATATCTCAAACAAATCTCTCAAATCTCTCACCAAATCTCTCAATCACATAGCTCAAAAGTTTCTTCTTTTTGCCTTAAAGAAACCCTAAAATCGTGTTTCAATATATATCAAAACACAAACCAAATCAGAACAAAAAATAAAGCCCAGACCCAAACCCGAGTCGTGGTCGACTACACTTGACGCCGCGGTCGACCGGACAGAACGTCCAAAACTCACAAATCGTTTACAAGGTTTGCGGTTGACCGAGCCTAGCCTCGCGGTCGACCGGAGAGAAATCCAAAAATACACCCTGTAGTGTGCACGTTTCAGTCGACCGCACATGTTGCTGTGGGCGACATGGAAACCTCCAAATTGATTCCTGCTTCATTTTCCCTGAACTTCATCGTCGTTTTTGCCGTTTCTACCAGTTTTTCTACAACTTTCTATTTTAAAGGGAATATGGTTCTAAGCAAAGTATATAATTTTATTTGTAATTCAAAATCTTGGGACTTATACAAAATATGATGCTTAAATTTTTTCCATATCTTTTATACTATATAAATATAAGCTAAGCCTCTAGTCTCATATTACACGATGAATATAATTTATCAAAGGGATCACATATGCTTGTGGTTAACAAAGACTTCAAATCTTTATAGGCTTAATTAAACTTAAATACCTTACAGCTTACAAAAGTTACACTCATATACCTCCATTTATATCTTAATGCACTTAAATATCCTAATGTTTTTCTAACATTGCATGTTTGTACTTATGTATGCAAAAATACTCTTTATAATTTTCCGATGTGAGTGCCATGATATAATTTTAGGACAATACTATATTTTTTACTCCTTCCAAAATAATTTATTAACTTGCAATTGTCTATTAATATAGTATTATGAATTATTACTAGTTAATATGAGAGTTTTACAATAATATTGGAAGTTTTAGGGTCAAGTTAGACAAATTTTATGTGGCATGTAATATGATTAATTAATAATGATAATAAATTTAGTTAATTTATGATTAGAATATAATATCAAAAAAGAACAGGAATCTTGAGATTATTCAAAAGATGAGTAAATCTTTGTTCGTCAAATTTGGGGTGTTGTAGTTAATCTATCGCAACGTTAAAATTTTGACTTAACCCTATGAACTTTTCTCAATTAACCCCTAAAAACTAATATTGTTGAGTCGAATTCATTATGTGATAAGTACTTGACTTGGAAAGACCAAAATATGTCTCAATCATAAAATAATTAGCTTGGTTTTTGCTAGATGAAAAAAAGTAAAGATTAAGCAGTAAAAATAACTGTAAATTTGTTGCCATCCTTTTATTATCAGTTGATAGTTACTTTTTTTAACTAAAATGACTTTCTTCAACAGGACATTTTGACAAAATCATATATTAAAGTCTTTTACATTAAGGGGGTTTGTTATGAGATGTGTAAAAGATCAGGAGAGTTTTTATAGACATGCTAAGTCGAAATGTGTTTTCTAAAATCGTACCAAAGTTGAGAGGGGTTATCTAAAACACCTTTATAGTTAAGGAGCTCTGTCAAATTAAATTAGTTGTGTGGTTTTTTTGAGACATTCCCCATAGCTGATAGAGTTTTAAAAAAATTAACTATACTTTTAAATTTAGCTTATTTACATTTTTGTCCCTCAAATGTTTTATAATTCAATATTAGTCCCTAAATTATAAGCAATTTCAAAATTTTAAAGGAATAATGTAGAATTATTGGAGATTTAAAATCAAGAAAATGATATCTAAATTACCTTTAAATATTACTCTTATAGGCAATATATGAAATATCGGCCGATATATCGCTATATCGACGGATATAAAAGGTTAAATACTTTATCTTGTCAATATTTATGGTTTTATATTGTTTTCTTTTATTTTTTCTCATATATCGATCGTTATTGAAAATATTGGCTAGTATAACAAAATCAAGTTATTTTTTAATTTGATTGTGGGCTTGGTATAGGGTAATGTTTAGAAACCAAAACTAAAGCACAAGTCACAAAAGCCATAATTCATAATCCCAAATCTCTTCACTCTTAGCTCTCCCAAGTTTTAAGCATATATCTTTGTAGGCGTCTAAAAATGACTATAGGTGTCCACACACAGCTCAAGGCGGAGATCAAGAGGGCAAAACGCTACCGAATTGGAGAGTGAAGCCACGAATTTACAGCGAGGGTTAGCAGATCTTAGCGAATTTCTGTGCATAAAGAGCGGAGTTCGAGAGATCTGAGACTCGTCCTCTATTCCTCCAGATTTAATCTTAGTCTTAATCTCGAGAAGAGCCGTAATCTCGCTTGGTCGGGATTACCACTACAGCGATTACTTCCTTCGTGAAGTAAGAGCTTTGATTAACTTAATCTGTCAACCAGATGTGATCCGCGACGGTCCACGGATATTAACGTCCACGGCACAGGCGAAGTTCCCACGCAAGCAGCGGGCGATAAACGTCTATTGCACTGTTTGACAAGAGTTGTACTATTTTATATTTTCATTGTATAAGTCGATCTTACAAAAAGATCTACTTTTCTCGTTTATTTGAGTTTATTGTAATGACCAAAGTTCTAATAGATTCAAAGCAATAAAAACATTAAATTTTGACCCAAACACGCTGGCGACCACAATGAGAGCCAACAGCCTTTCTGCGAAGGCTGATGTGTCACAACTTCAGATCCGGATCCCGGTTGACCTAGAGGTCAAGTACGAATTCGACCAGGCCAAGTTTGAGGAATATCTGTCGTCGTCCTCCTCCAGATCCTCCTCCACTCGCAAGCGTAGGAAGATCAACGCCCCTGTTGCTACGATAGCGGCACCTTGCAACACCTCTCCGGCTTTCAACAAGCCCAGATCTGTAGATCTGGACTCCTCCTCAATCAAGGAGTTGAGTACTGAACGCACGCTAATCTTATCGAAGAGGGCACATCAAAGGTAACGTTAACGCCTCACGTGCCAGCTCGCCAAAGCTTTGGAGCCAATCGACAGGATCTGTTACAAGTCGGATCTAAAGTTCAGGAAGCGTCAAGCTCCCCAACAGCAAGCAAACGCCCCCTCCTCCAAATCATCAACAAGCGAATGGATCCAAGTTAAATGGATCCATTCAACTCTTGAGGAGCGAATCCAGAAGCGCTACGCACTGCTTGCGCAAGTGAAATTCTTATGCAAAAGGCACAAAAGATGTAGAAGAAGGACATAGCTAATAAACAATCAAGACTGCATCAAACATGGAGGCCAAAGTTCAAGACAGCGGCCGAAAAGATCAAAAATTGTGGGTCACTCAAGTCTGACCCTCCAAGCCGTGGGTCACTCAAGTCTTACCCTCCAAGTCGGGGGTCATTCAAGTCTGACCCTCCTAGTTGTGGGTCACTCATGTCTGACCCTACAAGCCGTGGGTCACTCAAGTCTGACCCTTCCAGTCGTTGATCAATTAAGTCTGACCCTCCAAGCCGCGGATCACTCATGTCTGACCCTCTAAGCCGCGGGTCACTCATGTCTGACCCTCCCAGCCACGAGTCACTCAAGACTGACCCTCCAAGCCGTGGGTCACCTCGAAGTGACCCACCCAAACCGCGGGTCACCAAGTCCTGACCCGCCCCAGGGCCAAGACAGGAGATACTCTGCACTCATTTTTCTGATTCCGTCGAGTCCCTCCCCTGCTCTGATTGATCCAATACTTCTAGTGAAGCCTCACGGTAGTGTAGACTTGTTCAAAAGCAAGAAGCCAATGACGGATTGTCTGGGTCCTTTGCACAAGGATCGAGGCAAAGTTTTGATCAAATAACGCTTGGGTCTGGTGACTGAACCCCAATCAACTACTCGAGCTGGGGGTCGCACACGCCCTCGCAACAAGTCAGAGCCTTTCTATAATGGGAAAACTCATGTAACTAACCACCTCAGACTACAAGTCAGTATCCAAGAGCTTGTTAAGGTCCCGTACTCACGAAAATGTGGCTCCAAACGTGTAACTCTTGAGAACGCCATCAAGGCAACAAGTCCTCAGAAGGAAACGTGTTCGTCAGATAACGACGTTATACCTAAGAAGTCATGCCAACATGTGATAGATTGCTCCGGTCATCATGCCGATGAGTTGTACTATTGGGCTAAGGGTACGAACAGATCTCGAAAGAGAGATTCTCGGGAGATGGACCATCATTATCCGTGTACCAAGATAATCAGGGCAGTGTTATCAGCATGTAGCTGTCCCAAGACCGCTCCGCAGAGGGTCTCGGTATTTAAGAGGATCTCTAACGGAACGACTAAGTCCAAACCAAAGTGTTTCCGCAAGAAACGATCGGCTGTTTAAGGTGACGAACTTCCAGAAGTCATAATTAACATGGATGATAAAGGAAAGTTGGCTCGACCTTCTAGTTCTGACCCCCTCATATCGCATCGTCTAACTCAGCTAACACAGGGACTACTAGATGTAGGGATTATCAAAGAATGCATAGGTGATTATCCTCAGATGACGAAGCATCATATAACAACTCCGCAGTCGCTTCTGATAAAATGATATTCAGTCCAGGATAATCCCACGAAGTGTTTATGATTAATACCGAGGAAGTAGCCAAAATGGTTGAGGATGCTCTAGCCAAGTAGAAAGAAGCATTCAAAATCGAATTGGAAATGACCATGATACAGATGAAGGAAGAGCATGACCAACAGATTCGGGCTCTATCCAATCAACTTGGTGAATCCAGCCGTCGTAACATTACTAACCAAGCAGGTAGCGATTCAGACATGGACGAACATCTCGATGCTGATAACCCTCCCGTTGACCAGAATGTTGGGGGCGGCCCCACTGAGAATAACGACGCCGGGGGTAGTCCCACTAATGCTGATAACACTAGGGGTGGTCCCGTTATTCCTCTCAGAAATCATCCAAAGCATGATACAAGCGAGGATGAGAAAATAAAGGACCTCGAGAGAAAAATCAACGCTCTGATATCTACGCAAGAGGTGCAGAAGATTGGTATTCTGTGTCCTTACCCAAGAAAGTAGGATTTGATCCAGTATCTGACGAAGTTTAACCTTATCAACTTCACGCTGTTTGACGGGGAGGGCTTGCCCACTCAGCATCTGATCTACTTTAAGTCCCACTTGGGTATGATCTCTAGTAATAAAGCCTTGATGATTCTATCATTTGTTGGTACCCTTCGTGGACCTACCTTCGATTGGTACTACCGTCTCAAGTTCGGAAGTATCAACAACTGGGAAGACCTGGAGAGCCTGTTCCTCACTCACTTCTTTGATGATAACGTCAAGGTGTCAATCAGGACACTCTTCGATGAGAAACAAGAAGACGATGAGACAGTCGACGACCTCATCAAGTGCTTCCGGAATAAGATGATGAACTACCAAGATCCGATCACAGAGGACTTTATCCTCCAAACCTGTTACAACAACCTCTCTTTGGACGTGTTGAAAGTTATGGGAGTAGCACCGTCCAATACCTGGAAAGAGTTGAAGATGCACGGAGAGCGGGCCGAACACTTTCTCAGAAGGAAGAAAGCCGAGAGAAGCCAACCGATGGCTAATCCTCCGAACTCAAGCTTCATCTTTCGTAGTAAGGGGAAGGCACCTGCAGCAGTTGTTGATGTTAATCAGACGTCACAACAACAACCCTGAAGACAGCAAAAGACTTCGGATCCGAGACTCCAAAAAGAGTACTCCTTCAAGAACGAAGATGTTCTAGCCATTTTCGAGTCCTTCCTTGAAAATAACAAGATCAAGCTACTACCTATCACAGATCAGGAGAAAGCTGATAATACTGTGGATCCGAAGTACTGTGCATACCACAGGAGGATCCTTCATCCTACTAAGACTTGCTTCGCTCTCAAGAATAACATCTAAACATTGGTTGAAGCCGGTGTCATAATGGTAAATTAAGATGAATGAAGACTCCGACAAGTATAAGAGTATAAACTGCTCCTTCTGACACTCCAAAGAGTATACAAGTATAAACTGCTTCTCAATACTCCAACAGGTATATGAGTCTAAATTGTTTCCTTTCTTTCACGGAAAATTCTTAGAGAGTGTCATACCTGGTATTCTTAAGGATAACTCGATCATCCAACTAAGTACAATGTTAGACCCGGTTTCACAAAAAAAGCTGGGGGTGGATGATTTATGTAATGGGAAGTTCCTGAAAGAATTCTATATAGTGTATTCTTAGGGATAACCTGGTCACTACAAGAAGGTGATGAATAAGAAACTCCCACTCAAACTCCCGCTACGTCTGTGCACTCAACACTCCTATTGTTAGAGTCAGGGCATAATGCTTGGAATTTTAATATGCCAATCCTTGACGATTATCAAGCCCCTTCGTGTTAAGTTCTTATCACTTAACACCAAGAATCCTCACTGAGTGATCGGTGCAAGTCAATACTCCCACTATGATTTGTACTCCCACTCTCACTACCTACTTGATCAAACCTTCCTACAGTTAGGGCCACAACCAAAATCTCCTTTCGATTCTTTCCATGAATGAGAGGTCTACTTTCAAGTCGAGCGATCAAACCTTCCTACAGTTAGGATTGTCTTAAACATCTCACTTGGTCAAACCTTCCTACAATTAGGGCCAAAATCAAAATCCCCTCTCGATTCCTTTCATGAGCAAGAGGTTCACTTTCAAATTGAACGATCAAACCTTCCTACGGTTAGGATCGTCTCAAACTCCCACTTGGTCAAACATTCATACAGTTAGGGCCAAAACCATGATTCACTCTCGATAAACGAGAAATTCACTTTTAGTTCGATAATCAAACCTTCTGACAGATAGGATTATCCAAATCTTTTAGATTCTCAGAGTGGAGATCTCACTCTTATTTTCACTCTTCAGATTATCAAAGTGGAGATCCCACTTTGAGTTTCCTTTGCAACTGAAAATAGAATATAAAATTCTTCCTTTCCAGTATCGGGTTTGTCTTTGCCCCAAGAGAAGACACCGCTTTTTCAACTCCTAAAATCTGCTCCTTACACGCGCAAGGAATTTTATCCCAAAGCCTAAGTAGGGATTAGTCAATGCCTAACACACATTGCTGGTTTAGTCTTTTACCGATTAAAAAAGACATCAGAATCCAAATTTGAGGAATTTTATCCTGAAGCCTAAGTAGTGATAAGTCAATGCCTAACACACATTACTGGTTTAGTCTTTCGTCGATTGAAAAAGACACCAGAATCTAAGTCTGGAGAATTTTATCCCGAAGCCTAAGTAGGGATAAGTCAGCGCCTAACACGCGTTATCGGTTAGTCTTTTGGTGTAAAAAGGACAAAAGCCCACATATTCGATATTATGATAGGTTGTTATTAATAACATCATAATCCGTGCCTTATATGCATGGAGAATTTTATCCCAAATCCTAAATAGGGATAAGTTAACGCCTAACACGTGTTGCCGGATTAATCTTTCACCGATTGAAGAAAACACCAGAATCCAAATCGGGGGACTTTTATCCCTAAGCCTAAGTAGGGATAAGTCAGCGTCTAACACATGTTGTCGGTTAGTCTTTTGCCATGAAAATGACAAAAGCCCACATATTCAATATTATGGCAGGTTGTTATTAATAACATCATAATCAGTGCCTTACACACATGAGGAATTTTATCCCAAATCCTAAGTAGGGATAAGTCAACGCCTAACACGTATTGTCGGTTTAGTTTTTCACCGATTGAAGAAGACACTAGAATCCAAGTCTGCGGACTTTTATCCCGAAGCCTAAGTAGGGATAAGTCAGCGATTAACACGTGTTGTCGGATAGTCTATTCCCGTAAAAAAGATAAAGTCTACGTATTCAATATCATGGCACTAAGAGAGTTGACTCTCTTAACACAACGCCACATGCGGAACGGACTTAAACAATCTGTATGAAGGCCCGATTCAAATGGTAATCAAAGGCACGTCAAATCCGTTGAAGGCTGAGCGTTTGCCAAAAATCCTAAGTCTACTTCTAACACATATCATCAGGTAGTCTATTCCCGTGAGAAAGATAAAGTCTATGTATTCAATATCGTAGCACTAAGGGAGTTGACTCTTTTAGCACAATGTTACGTGCATAACGAATTTAAACAATCTGCATGCTAGCCCAACTCAAACGGTAGTCGGTAAAGGCTAACCAAACCCGTTGATGGCTAAGAATTTACAAAAAATTCTATAAATATGAGAGTCTTTGACACACCATCCCCATTAGTTGGTCTCGTGACTTGAACATTCAACAACTTTAGAATAAGAACCATACATACAGATGAATCAGCTTTAACAGTTGGTCCTACAGCCTCAACATTTGGGATCGCCACGCTCTAATACCTTAAGAGCTTAAACTGTATAAACTCTAGCAAATGTACGAGTATAAACTGTATTAATGCCGGTCAGTGCGTTACAACAAAGGTTAACGCCGGTCAATGCAAAGGTCGATGTCGGTCGACGCATCAGTAATTTCACCAAAATAAGGCAAATGATGATTCCAAGGAGTTCAATCACATTCAGATATGAATTTCTAACGAAGATGATCAGTTCAAAGTTAGCTCAATGACGCGAGCTAAATTTACACATAAACTTTAGTTCAAGATTTTGACAACGGTCAGACGATAAACGTAGCGTCGGAAGAACTTCATCTATTCGGCAAAACACTGAATAGACTGAAGGCTAAAGAAGTCAAGAATTAAAGTAGTTCACAGGTCCCTCTATGAGATTAAGAAAATAGCCTATCTTATCCAAAGTATTTCAGACTCTTCTATAAAAGAATGAGTCTGAAATACTTTGAAGAGGGTATCTGTAGGCGTCTAAAAATACCTATAGGTGTCCACACACAGCTCGAGACGGAGATTAAGTGGGCAAAACGCTACAGAATTAGAGAGTGGAGCCACAAATTTACAGCGAGGGTTTGCAGATCTTAGCGAATTCCTTTGCATAAAGAGTAGAGTTTCAGAGATCTGAGACTCGTCCCCTATTCCTCCGAATTTAAGCTTAGTCTTAATCTAGAGAACAACCATAATCTTGCTTGGTCGGGATTACCGTTGCAGCGATTACTTCCTTCGTGAAGTAAGAGCTTTGATTAACTTAATCTGTCAACCGGATGTGATCCGCGACGGTCCACGGATATTAACATTCCCGGCACAGACGAAGTTCCCACGCAAGTAGCAGGTGATAAATGTCTGTTACGTTGTTTGACAAGAGTTGTATATTTTACATTTTCATTGTATAAGTCGATCTTACAAAAAGGTCTACTTTTCTCGTTTATTTGAGTTTATTGTAACGATCAAAGTTGTAATAGATTCAAAATAATAAAAACATTAATTTTTGACCTAAACAATTTTGATGTAATTTCTTATGTTGAAAATTCATCAATATCTGAGATTATAGATTACAATGTTATATTATGTATGAGCATTATCTCATATGACACCCAGATATTTTTTACATAACCCCGATTATTGCAATCCAATATCATTGATTTTATTTGTCCATCATTTATATGATGCCCATCACTTTATAGTAGTCCTTTGAAAGCATCTTCTAAAGTTTTCTAAGTATATAAATACAAAAATAATTCAAAGTCTTAAGATTATTCAAAATATGATGCTTTAATTTTCCCACATCTCCTCAAATATATAAATATAAGCTAACCCTCTAGCCTCATATTATATGATGAATATTATTTATCAAAGAGATCACATATTATTGCTTGTGGTTAACAAAGGCTTTAAATCTTTATTGACTTAATTAAATTGAATACCTTACAGTTTATAAAAGTTTTAATTATATTACTCCACTTGTATCTTGCTGCACTTAAATATCCTAATATTTTTTAAAATTACATGTCTATACCTTTCATACATAAGAATACTATTTATAATTTTCCTATATGAATATAATGGTATAATTTAATGATAATTTTATATTTTTTTTACTCTTTCCATTAATAATTTATTAACATGCAATTGTCTATTAATATATTATTAGATATTACTAACAATTAATATGAGAATTTTACAATAATATTAGAAGTTTTAGGGACAAGTTAGATAAACTTGAAGTGGTATATAATCTCATTAATTAACAATAATAATTAATTTAGTTTAGTTAGGATTAAAATATAATATTTAAAAAAATAAGAGTAATATATTCCATAGAAAGTTTTTCGACAACTTCCTCTTTTAAAGGGAATATGATTCTAAGCAAAGTATATAATTTCATTTGTAATTCAAAATCTTGAGACTTATACAAAATATGATGCTTAAATTTTTTTTCCACATCTTCTATACTATATAAATATCAGCTAAGTCTCTGGCCTCATATTATACGATGAATATAATTTATCAAAGGGATCAAATATGCTTGTGGTTAACAAAGGCTTCAAATCTTTATAAGCTTAATTAAACTTAAATACCTTATAGATTACAAAAGTTACACTCATATACCTCCACTTATATCTTAATGCATTTAAATATCCTAATGTTTTCTAACATTGCATGTTTGTACTTATGTACATAAAAATACTTTTTATAATTTTCTGATGTGAGTGCCATGGTATAATTTAGGACAATACTATATTTTTTTTACTCCTTTCAAAATAATTTATTAACTTGTAATTGTCTTTTAATATAGTATTATGAATTATTAATAATTAATATGAGAGTTTCTACAATAAACTTGGAAGTTTTAGGGCCAAGTTAGACAAATTTGAAGTGGCATGTAGTATGATTAATTAATAATGATAATAAATTTAGTTAATTTATGATTAGAATATAATATAAAAAAGAATAGGAATCTTGAGATTATTCAAAAGATGAGTAAATCTTTGTTCGTCAAATTTGGGGTGTTGTAGTTAATCTATCGCAATGTTAAACTTTTGATTTAACCCTATGAACTTTTCTCAATTAACCCCTAAAAACTAATATTGTTGAGTCGAATTCCTTATAGCTTACGAAAGTTACACTCATATACATCCACTTATATCTTAATGCATTTAAATATCCTAATGTTTTCTAAAATTGTATTTATGTACTTATATATGCAAGAATACTCTTTATAATTTTCCAATGTGAGTGCCATGGTATAGTTTTAAGACAATTCTATATTTTCTACTCCTTCCAAAATAAGTTATTAACTTGCAATTGTCTATTAATATAGTATTATTCGTTATTAATAATTAATATGAGAGTTTTACAATAACATTGGAAGTTTTGGGGCCAAGTTAGAAAAAATTAAAGTGACATGCAATATGATTAATTAATAATAATAATTAATTTATGTAATTTATGATTAGAATATAATATCAAAAAAGAATATGAGTAATATAGTCAATGAAAAGTTTTTCCACAACTTCCTCTTTTAAAGGGAGTATGATATGATATGATATGATTATTATAAGTTAATTTATAATAGAAATTTATTATTTTCTCTTTAATATAATTTATCTCTTAAAATAAAGAGAGTTTTTTTTGGGGGGTGGAGGAGGGTGTGGGGAATGATACCTCTTGGTTAGGCATGTATCTCCTTTGTTTTAATTCTTATGTGGTGACTTTATCAATTTACACATCTTCTATTAATATTATCTTTATAATTGTTGTATTCCCGAATATATTCTAACACAACATCTTAAATATGAGGAAGACTTTTCCAATCATTATTGTAAGTTAATTTATAAAAGAAACTTATTACTTTCTCTTTAATATGATTTATATCTTAAAAATGAAAAGATGCTTAATAATGTGCGCCCAATTCTATTTCATGGTATGATGTCTATTGCTTAGAATGCTCTTGAAACAAATAAAGAGAAAAGAAAAGATAGGAAAACCTCTATCTTGTACAATTACCTTTTATCCTTTCAATTGCAACATTATTTCCAAGTCATTAAAATGATCTTGAATGTTCTTAAAGAAAGAAAGGAAAAGGAAGAGAAGAAAATTAAGAGGAAACTATTCTTAGCAAAATTACCATTTTACCCTTCAATCACAAATTGCAAGGAGCAAATGTCCACCACTCATACAATGTTTTTGTTGCCCTCGCTTGATTTTTTATATAGTAATATAGATTAACAGCATTTACAAAATAAAGTGTTGGTCATAATGTGTCAACATTACTTACTGATTTAAATTTGCTTGTTACACTAGCTAACCAATACAGAAATCAGGGATAAAATCATAAATATAATTCTCTACATAGCCATTTTCCAAACTCTACATGCATTTCTCATCAAATATTACAACAGAATATTGGCCAAGACTCTCAAGGATCTCTCTAGTTAGATGAACGAGTCAAGGGAGTTTAAGAATAATCAATTAAATTTGTACTTGTTGAAAATTTCTCGGCAAATGTTTATGCAACCTCATCCTAATTCCCTCTCTTTCTATTTGAACAGAATGCAGATAAACTAGAATTGACTAAGGTATTGAAGAAAGCTACAATGGATGATAGAACAGTCATAATCACAGTACTAAACGAAGCATGGGCACTGCCCGGGTCAATCTTCGATCTTTTTCTTGAGAGTTTCCACATTGGTGAGCAAACAGAAAAGCTTCTGAATCATTTGGTGGTTGTGGCAAGGGATCCTAAGGCATTTAGACGGTGCAAATTGATTCATAAGTATTGCTTCTTGGTTCAGACTCAAGCCACAGATTTTTCGGGGGAGAAGAGCCATGATTATTTGAAGTTTAGGAGTCTTGAACTTCTCACATCTGTTCTAGACCTTGGATATAATTTTATATATACGGTATGTAGTAGCTAGATAATTATTAGTATACCACTTTTAATACCGCATCTTGAGCTTCTCTATAAGCATGGTTAACTTTTTATTAAACGAATAAATAGTGATGAAGAAACGTATCCGAGGTCTGATTTGAGCAAGCATGCATCACAAATTGGTGAAAAATAACTTTGGAAGAAAGTACTAACTGGAATTTCTTTTGATCATCTACTAAAATCATTTCTTGAGTTAATTCTTACATTTAAATAGTAGCAATAGCTTCAGTGATTTCAGGCTCTTGTTCTTTCAATTTCCGCTTTATCGAGAATTTACTGATTTTCTGAAAGTAATTTCGTTTAGACGCCTCCCACATTTTTCCTCTCTGAGGCAACACAACTTAGTCGTTGGTTCGCTTATTCTAACATGATCTATTTCTTGGACACAGGATACAGATATTATGTGGTTAAGAAACCCTATATCCCACTTCTCCAATGAAGCACAAATAACGATAGCAAGTGATTACTTCTGCGGCAATTCTTCGGATCAACGTAATCAAGCTATTTGCGGATTTCTTTATGTGAAGTCAAATGGTCAAACAATTGAATTTTTCAAGTATTGGATAATGTCAAGAACGGTTTATCCTAACAAAAATGAGCAGCAAATATTCAACATCATCAAGCAAGACGGGTACGCCACACGATTAGCACTGGAGGTGAGATTTTTAGATACAACTCATTTTGGCGGTTTGTGTTACCCTAACAAAGATTTGAGTAAAGTTTGCACAGTACATGCAAATTGTTGCGTTGGTGTCAAAAGAAAAATACATGATTTGAAAATCTTTCTTGAGGATTGGAAAAATTATACGAGTCGACCAGAAGCAGAGAGAAAACGGAGCGGTATCTCTTGGAGAGTTCCTGATAAGTGTAAGTTGTCTTAGTCTGTTACGTGAGAACTGAGAAGAAAGCCATGTTGAATTTAACACCTTTAACTTTCAATAAGAAATTTTCCGGTTGATAGTATAAACTATAATAAAGGAACATTTGTAATTGATATAAAGGAGAAAATGTACTAGCTCATTTGATTAGTTAATACTTTGCTTTGATTACTAATGTGTCATCTGTTACGTCTTGTATTTATTAAGAAGAGTCAACATTTGTAGTTAGTTTTATAACTATTGAACATGTCCTATAACTGAAGTCAGTTACAAGGATATTTGTTGATCCGAGATACACTTACAAACATGAATAAAAAAACTATGAGGATGATTTCTCTTTTTTTTTTTCTTTTCCCGCCCCTCTGCATTTAAGGCATTTAAGAAGACATGATATTTCAGAGGGTTATGTCGATAGTTATTGGGGGGGTATGTTAAAAAAAATTCATTTCCTCAGTAGTTTTATTCTCACTTTGGTTGTGAGATGTTCATAGCGATTCTCACTTTGTATTTCACCAGTTGGATTACATACCTCTCTTTAACTTTAATATATAATATAATATATAAAATAGGTATATAATGAATGTTTCTTTTTTGCCTACAAATCCAAAGTTTTATCCTTATTTATTTTTTAACGCATTCACTTTCAAAATAAATGTTACACTTAAAATATTCAACCAAAAGTTTTACCTCTAACTATTTTAACCCATTCATTTTCATATAGATCTTATTGGCTATAAACCTAAAGTTTTACCCCCATTTACTTTTAAACTCACACACTTTCAAAAAGGAGTTTTGTGCCTATAAACCCAAAGTTTTATCACCATTTTTTAGGTTTATGTTTTCTTCAGCCTGAAGTTACGGCATTGTACGAGTTAGTTTTGCTTGTTGTGTTTACTTAAAAAGTGATACTTACACTTTCTAATTCACTTTAAGTTGTAAAAAAAATACAGGCACCGTGAAAGATTGCTTAGTTTTTCAACTTAGACACCCAAAGTCCTTTTTAGATACCTTGCACTATTATATTTTTCTACTATATAACTATTGGCTAAAATATCAGATTGACCTTAAAACTAACATCGCTTTACCATTATATTTTAAAAACTGACGTCGACGACACTATAGCCTAAAAACTCACAAATATTGTGACAAATGAGCCTATCTATTGTCAGAGGTAATTTTTAAGTAAAAAATTAATAGATTTTTTCCTTATAAACCCCCTCAATCTCTCATATTTTTTAGACTAACCTCCCAATCCAATATTTTGAAGTTCGTAGAAAAGCCCTCTCTTCCCACCATCTCCTCCATCATCCTCCCTGTCATCTTCTCCATTCTCTTTTCCTCCATGTTCCTAACTTTCACTCATCTCTCCCACTATTTTCTCCTACTTTCTCATATCCCCACTCTTATCTTCTCCTTTCCAATCTCCTCCATTCTCTTCTTCTCCTAATCGCCAACATCCCTTCCTCTCTCTTACTCTATCCCCATCCTCTTTCACTCTCCCACTCGCCGTTCCTCTCTTCCATCCCTCTCCCTCATTGCTCCGCCCGCTCCTAATTTTCAACATTAAATATTCCACTAAAATTTCAACCTCCTTCTCATGTTTCTCTCTTAGAACCAACAATAAAATTCTTTACTTGAAACATTAGGAGAGAGTGGAGGGAAGTGGAGAAAGAGAGGAAGAGAGGAGGGAGAGAGTGCAGAAAAAAAGAGAAGTCAAAGATAATCAAGAAGATGCGGGATTGAAATTAGGAGTGGGCGGAGCAATGAGGAAGAGGGAATGGGAGAGAGGAACATGGAGTGAGAGTGAGGAAGAAGATGTAGAAGGAGTAAGAAAGAGGAAGGGAGATTGAGGATTGGAAGAAGAGGAGAAGGAAGAAGATGGTGAAAAGAAGGTAAGTGTGAGGATATGAGATAGGAGGGAGAAGGAGTGGGAGAGATGAGAAAAAGCTGAGAAAATGGGGGAGAGAGGGGGAGGAGTTAAGGGTGACGATATGATAAAGGAGGGAGAGAGAGTGTGGAAGAGAAGAGAGGAGGTTGAGGATGGTGAGACGAAAAGAATGGAGGAGATGGTGAGAAAGAGGAGGGAGAAGATGGCG